TCCAAAAGGTACGCCTCAGCGCGGTCGTAGCATTGCTCTGCCATATCGCGCACGCCAGTTGCAAGCTCTACTTCTGAGGCGACGAGGACGCAGTAGCCTAGGATGAAGTGTCCAAATTGAACAATAAGCTTCGGGTCATCTGAGTAGGAGCACTGTACGTGTGTGTACCGCTCCAATGCCATATTCAGGATCTTGGGATCCGTCTGCTGTTCATCTTTTGCCTTTTTGGCGTTCAGGACGAAAATCAGGTAAATCATCACCAAACTCCATCTGCCAAGGACTTTGAGCACGTTGGCTTGCAGATCATCGCAAATGCGTTCCATGCAGGCTTTAAATTCTGGGAACATAGTGTTTGTGAGGAGTTGTTCTACTCTCTGCGCTAATTGGACAAACTCGTGGTCTCTCGGTAGGATGACCATTGAGGATGTCACCAAGCAGCGCACCAACTCGTTAATGGCTGCAGTATCAGATGATTGGTTGAATGAGCTCAAAATGCCAATTGGTACCGCAGGGTGAAATGACTTCAACAGCTCATTGACATGGTCGTTCATTCGCGACTTGACTGCAACTGATGGATTGTTCACAAGGCAACCTCTCAGGTAACTTTCGTGCTTAAGCTCCTTTTGAAGCGTGCGGTAAATCGCGAGATGGTCGTCTGTGGGGGTACAGTCGTCCCACGCCATAGTCGGCGGCCGCCCTGGAACGAGCTTCGAGAGGATCAACGTCGCTAATGTCACGATCTCTTTGCAAAGCATGTCAGGGGTCATGCCAGCTTCTTTCTGGTTTACTTCAAATGGGGATCTGTATCCATACGTGGCCGGTGTCGGTGGAAGGGTCCCTGGGCGTGGGGTCTCGACATACGTCGTCGAGCGCGTGTCAAAGACTTGATGAGCTTCGTGAGGAGACGCACATGGCGTTAGTGCTGGCGAGAAGAAAGCGGGTGGTTCGATTGGAGAGGTAGGGCTTGAGATATCGCTAGGAGGTGCGGCGGCAAGATTCGACCCCTGGTCAACGTCTCTGGGTAGTGATGCCTCAAAGGGCTTGCGCTTCTTGTTTTTCCCGATGCCCCAGGTCTTGAAGCGTCCTTTATACATGCGCTCTCTGTACACGTTTCCTTAGCACTGTACAGATACCAAAGGCCCGAGACAACTGAAGATAATCTTACGTCGCATAGAATCCATGTCTTTTATACAGCTCATCTTTGATGTGCTTGAGGGTTCTGGTGGTATATAATTTGGTAATGAGGGGCCTGTGCTTCTCCCATTGCTCGGCAGTCGGCTGTTCAGGCATTGCGACGGCGGTCAAGTCGACCCGTCCGGACGAACTATCAGCGATGTAGTCGGCGTACAGTGGCACCGGTCAATGTGACGAGAACTCGGGAGGCGGGGGCAGCGTGAGAGGGGAAAGCGGTCTGGCGTAAACATACATGTATGCAAACGGTTTGCGGCACAACGGACATTGGAATGGATCGATTTATGAATTGTGCGATGGGTTTGCATGTCGATGGAGTTTGCCAACGAACTCGCTGACAGCTGCAGGTGAGATTCCGTCATGCCGACCAATTGTAGTGACACAATTCCACAGGGATGAATAAGATGCATCGCAATTTGACCAGTCACAGCAAAGTACCATGCATAATTAATGGGGTCTGAGTTTCTGACTTAGCCACAAAGGGCTGAACACCATGAATTCGGTTCCTGGCGAACCAAGTGCGCACCATCTCGCAAGGCAACCTTCGGGTGTAAGGCATGCCGAGGATGGGCTGTCCAGCTATCTCGCAATCTCTGCCTTGACAGTGAGGCAATATGGTTTGCATTCTTGACGCAGGCATGACTGGCCTTGGTGACTTTCATTTGTCCAAAGTTATGCAATGGTGAACTGGCAAGTCGTGCAGTGCGCAGAAAGATCGATTGGCGAGGGGTTACTTGAGCCTCATCATCACGTGCACCCTCAATACCTCCATCTCTAGAAACTCTGAATGGGTGATGTCTGCCATAAGCAAATAAATCTGAGCGACTAAAATTGAAGTACACTTAATTGGAGGTTTTGGTAACTTCCTAATGCCTTTAATGGTAGGAGGTCCTGACATGGCCTTTCCAAGATTAAATAGTATAATAGATCCAAAACTACTAGTTGCAAAAGCGTCAGGGTAATCACTAATACGTCTAGGCATTCCTTGTAATCCTAAGAAATGTTGTGGCAAGAATACTTGTTGAATGGGCAGTTTGGGGCAATCTCAATGACACAAGACGTCATGCCGTCATGAGGTCCATTAATCATTTCGTATGATTAGTGATCAATACCAGCGATTGAGCCGTTGGTGCATGAATCCAACGAAGATTAGATTGTCAGAATGAGTTTTCGCTGACCCACTTCACAGGCTCATGAGGAATGAAGGCATACCTCAATACCTTGTCTGCATGCATTCGTCACTAGCCTTTGACTTGAATCAAGGCTCTGCAACTACAAATTGATAGTTCGAGGTATTCCTTTCATGAACTCAGTCGAGTTGAGAAATTGTCATTAGCATCGTTTTCACTAAAAGAACTTACCAACCAGTTCGCGCCTACTCAAAAAGTTTAATCACTCTAGAGACTGCGTGAGAAAATCCAACTTGAATGAATGTCGAGTTGACATCTATTCAACTTCATCGAGAGCCCTCATTGTGTATCAAGTAGAACATTGCGTTGCCAGATTCGGACCAGATTTGTGCATGATCATACTTTGATGTCATTTGAGGACATCAAGCTTTGAAGTTGAGAAGAGCTGATTCAACTTCAACTGGATTGGTAATAGATGATTTTAGTTTGTGTCAACACTTACATTCAAGTCTCGGTTAGGCAGTGCTTTTGCCTGTAATCAACTAGGAACAGCGTATGGACTTTGAAGCAACATCCAATTCAATAAGTCAGTCAGTCCGATCGAATGAAGGAGTGAAAGCTGGTTCAAATATCAATTTCTGATACGATACCCGTCCTATATGCCACAGCCATGCGCCCTCATTAGTTTCATGATCTCGTGAACTCAGCTCGACTGATACACCCAATGACATACATAGTCACGGCGTCGGCGAACCAATCAGACGGGTCTTGCTTTCCTCAGAGACATTTCAACGAGCCTTGTCACGTGCAAACTGCTTTTTTCATCGCATTATCCCTGGCAATGCAAGGGTCTATATAAATTTTTCTAGATTGACTGGGATTGATACTCTTCCAGCCATTTACTCACTGCTGGTCGCGGAACATGGCGCCTTGTTGTCTATATTGCAACAGGAACAGGGAACTCGATAGCTTGATACAATCTGTTCACTTGATATTGCTTGTATCATGATATCAATGTGTGCTTTCTGGATAATTTCCAGAGAAGCATAAAACCACCGTGCAAAAGTGTACATACACGAGATTGTAATGAAGGGAACGCCGCGCTGCAGTTCTGTTACATTTAAGTATCCATCAACGCCCAGAGAAAGCACAATTATGGGATTTCTGGTGATTCACCATGGCCCTCAGTCTCGGCTTGGCAACCGCAGTGCAACATAGTCTCACGTCGAGCAAGGTCTTTCCAAAGTATGTCGAGATCGACTTCGCCACCCTGTAAGTTGCTGATAATCCCGACGGACTCTGCTCATCTGCTTCGGATTAACTGTAATCGCATATGCGAAAGGAAGCAGACTGCATATCGTGCGTGATAATATCGCGTTGAGCCATGCTTGACTCTACCTAGGCCAGAACACTTGGCGATTGACCACGTTGTCTACATGACTATCTTGCCTGAGGCTGTGATCTGCACCATTCAGCTGACGCGGCAGTGTAGTGCGCTTGCACTTTGCGGGCATCTAACAAGCTATTCATAGAGCTAGTCTCTCTTAAAAGATAAGTTGATGTGGTAGACTAGTAATTATGCCCGAAGCCCTCCGACCTGTTCACTTCAACAGACATGTGCCAATCGTAGGCCCAGCTTGCCGACCTTGCGAAGTGGGTGTAGATCCAAATAACCGACCCTTGTTTAGCTAAAGCTAGCAACAGTTGACGATGATCCGAATAATACACCATGCCGACCTTGGCAATACCCAAAGACGATACCAAAGCCGCTGTGCTTTATGCATGGGGATAGGGGTCACGGACTTACGCACCCAGCCCCGATCGTCAGCAACATACGTACTTGCAGTCGTCGTCCTGACTAGCGCATCTAATAGTTAGGCATGTCGGCGGAGTGAAGGCGCACCCCCGCAATAGGACGGATGCCGGGGTGCCGTGGTGTCGTCCGGGTAGCGGTGGCAGGTTCCGGCGAGCCGGCCGATCGTCTTGTGGGGTGCTTCCGGGATGCAACGTGCGGAAAGGCCCACGGCGGAGCAAATGCGAGCGCCAAATTTTGCCGGGCTAGTCCAAGTTGAGCTGCCTTCTTTTTTGAGAATCGCCTTTTCTGGTCACTTGCAGTGGTTGCCAGAATTTGGTCATGTCCATTTTTGGGCAACTGCGGCTGGAAAACGGTTCCGGATCGTTTGGTAAGCTTGCACCGGCGGGAACCCTACGCAGCTTCGCCCGTTCCGCAAATGCTGCCCGCGATAATTAAAGAGTCAGTCACTCGCATTTGGCTTCGTGACTATGAAACCAGAGTGATTACTCCCCAGGTATTGAAGACTACCTCTTGCATGCATCATTTCACACCGGCACGCCCACTTCACGACATCTTCTACATAACTTCACTTTATTACAACTCTTCCGTGTCTTCTGTGCGAAAGTTGTCACCTTTAGCTTACTCGCAAGTCAACGGCTTCAATCTGCGCACTTCTATTATCGTGCGAATATTGAGTTTTTAGATGGGTTTTTCGGCAAACTCCTCAAATCTCAGTAAAACTGGAACTTGCTAAGAACCTCCTGTAATAGATTTGCAAAGCAAACAGCAAAAGTATGGTAAGGTTGTTTAAAGTTTCGTTGCCCAAGTACACTAGTCTTGATTTGAGGTGCTACGCTAAAGACTGTAAGGTATCCGACGTCGCATCATAAAGTCGGCGCTGCCTTCTCGTCAGGCTTGAATTCTCCTCGACTGGCACTGCGAATCTGAGGCTCTAGAGGAAACACGGACTTCTCAGGCGTGACACCCGAGTACACACGATCCCACCGCTCCCGCAAGGCATTAGGCGTCTTCCATGCGTGCTCAGGATCCCGGAGCCATAGTCTGATCAAATGCCGCCTATCTACATCAGCTTGCGAATACCTATTTAGACCCCTAACATCACTTACTGCTTTTCCTCAGAATCTATGAAGCCTCCACGGGCGTGGAATATGCTCAGATTGTTGGCATACTGGATGTCGCCTTGATGAAAGTTCAAGTGGGCGGCATATTTTTCGGCGAGGAAGTGTAGCGCGTCGAGAGCCTCGGCCTGCGCTTCGGTGATGGGGGGTATGTCGGAGGACCGTGGCAAACCCCAGTAGCCCGTGAAGCTGCGTCTGGCATATTGAATGATCAAGCGCTCGGGCTTACCGTCTGCTGCTGGCTGGTGATGAAGCAAGGGCCTGGTGCTATATGATCTACCGTCCTTTCCGAACCTTCGTATGGAGGTCAGCAGCAAATCAGTTCCTCTTCCAGGACATAACTTACTCGTCGGCATTCCAAGGCTCAGCCAAGGTGCGGATCAAATCGGGCCTTGTCCTAGCCAGCTCGTTGTACACATGCCAACTGCTCGAGAGGTAGCTCTGACCACCTTCAGCGGCTTCGCCGAGTGCAAAGAGCGCAATTACATCACCCGAGTCGGTGTGGAAGACTTGCTTGTCAGTCGTATAGGCCGGTGCTCCAATCTTATGGGGGTCAACTATCTTAGTGAGGTCTTTAATATGTGCCAGAACAACGTCTGCAGGCTCGCCTTGGAACTGGTTGTCTTGTCTGCCGCGGATCGGAGCCACGTGGGAGGAGATTCCGGCGTAGATGATGACGTTTTCTTCGCGAGTATACTTTGTTACTGGAACGCCACGTATGACCTTGATGCCGTGACCGTTGTGAATCTCTTCCGAGATCTCACGCAGAGTTTTGTGAAGGTGTAGTAAGGGAAATGTCTCCTGACTGATGTCTCCAAGTGGCTTTTCCGAGGCTGTGCTTGAAATTAGAAAATGCACCGAGGTCTTATGCGACATGCTGATGAGATGATTCACGTACACTTGAAGTGCCCGAGAGCATCATCAATTTCTTTCTTATCAGCGTCTGTCAAGACGTAGTTCCAGTCGTAGTGCTGAGCCAAGGTATTTCCATCCCATACCAGCTTCGACTCTAGTTTCTGCGGGAAGCCTGTAGGCAAATACTTGTCGAGATTCTCCTGCTCTTGGCGTCGCTTTGTTCTGGCGACAAAGCTGCCATAATCAGGGGCATATCCAATGTCCGGTTGGCCCGGAGGGCCTGGGTAGAATGGGGCTTGAACATCAGCCGCGGCCATTGTGACGATTCCTTGGACTTGATCTGACCCTGATGGTAAATTACTCTTAGCGTCAAAAAAGAAAAAGGAGTCACAGGTGTTTATATCGTCCCTTATTGATTTCGATTGGGTCATCAGACGTCGCCTTGACTCAAACATTCTGCTGTGGAGACCATTGGATGACGAATTCAAGCGGAAGTCTCATCTGAGGAGAACTCTTGGAACAACTGGCGCTGCTTCGGCAATAGGAACCAATCACTGCATTTAGATTCGGTGAATCGGTATTGCATTTGTAAGACGCTCTCCTCTTTCTGCGGACGCATTGAGAAAATGCGTCAATCTCTGAATCTCAGTGGCTAGCAAGCAGTTTACTCGGTTTGCCCATCTTGCGCTGAGAAGGCGTCATGCCGCATCAGTTGTCTTTCTGCGGGGAACCCTGAGACCCGATTCGACGGCGTCATCCTCACGGGAATGTCGCCATCGGAAGTTAGAATCTCGGCGAGATAGACGGTGTCAAGCGGATAAGGAGCCGAAGTGTCACGGCATATCCTAGGACAATTCGGACACCATGAGGCTCTGCCAGAGCACCTGCCTGGTGCCCGCTTCTTCCTTCCGATGCCCCGCCCGGCTTTCCTCTCCGCCTCTCCGACTCCAGGGGAACGCACCCCACACGGTCGACTGTTCACTCCAGCGAGTTCAGACATGGCCCCACCTAGGTCGCAAGGTGCAAGTCATGTGTTCTAGCTTTGATCACTCCGAACGTTCCGGAACGTGCGGTAACCGTCCCCTGTTAGTAAGGTTTAATACAGTGGCAGCAGTCCATTCCGCCTAAACAACGTGCTGGAAAACAATTCCTTCTCAATGACGGCGAAATGAATGGATGCAGTGGCAGTATGCCTCGACTCCGAGCAGGGTAGCTGCCGTCACGATACATGATAACCAACGCTAGCTTCGGTCAGCTTCCAAGACAATTCTTGGTGCACTTCCGCAAAAAAAACCAAAAAAAGAAAAAAAAAAAAAAAAAACCCGGTAGCTGCTGAGGAGATTGAACCCCTGGTTACTCATTCAACCGCAATTAATGATAGGAACCTTCCCTCAACGACGGTGCATTCAAAGCGGGAATCGTCCATGGCATCATTGCTTTCATTGGCCAACTCTTCGCGTTGTGCAAACTAAGACTGAACTGGTCCTCCATTTGAGTCTTGGCCCTCGCCGGTATTACCATCGACCCCGCATCCCAGCCCCTGCTACTTTGTCGCTCAACCAAATCGGCTTCCGAAAAGATTCGATACGGCTGTCTTGGCGGTACGACTTGCACAAGCATCAAGAAGATAATGATTCACTGGCGTAGAGTGTACCCAAGTAGGAAGGTGCTGACGAGCGGGGAAGATCAAATGATATATATCGAAGCTGTGCCGGAAGTCACTGAACGATGTCTTCGAGAACAGGAGCCTCTTTTTAGTGACTACTTTCATATTTTATCCGGTCCTCTTTTGGTGTCTTCGTAATGAGGAATCGACTGTCGTTCATCGCCCTTGCCGCGGCACTCACTCCGCACTCATTCGCTCAATTTCCACCAGCGCCTCAGGGGGTTACGGTCTTGAAGTCGAAGTTCGATGAAGGCATCCAGATTAGTTACAAAGAGGCAAGGTGGAAGCAAGCACATTGGCGGGAATAGGAGCTGACGTGATCCACATATCTAGCCCGGTCTGTGCGAGGAGACTGAAAGTGTGAAATCCTATGCTGGATACATCAAACTTCCGCCGGGAACCCTCGAGGGCGTTGGCCAGGAGCAAGATTTTGAGATCAACACATTCTTCTGGTTTTTTGAGGCCAAGGAGGATCCAGAGAACGCACCACTCTCTATATGGATGAACGGCGGTCCCGGCAGCTCTTCGATGCCTGGACTATTCAATGAGAATGGACCATGCTATATCAATCCGGACTCAAACTCGACAAGACCTAGTGAGTGGTCTTGGAATAACAAAGGTGAGAGCCCTTTCTCACAATCAATTGAAATCTGGTTCATTGCTCAGACACTCTTTTTTAGTCAACATGTTGTACATTGATCAGCCAGTTCAAGTCGGCTTCTCATACGATTCACTGCGAAACGTGACCAGGAACCTCCTCGGAAGCACCCAAACTCTGAACGCCTCATCTCCAATCCCAGCACAGAATGTCACTTTCCAGACCGGCACATTGGCCAGCGGCGGAAGGAACACGACGAGCTTTGGTAGTCGCAATGCAGCTATTGCCCTATGGCACTTCGCCCAGGTATGGTTTCAGGAGTTCCCGGGTTATCACCCCAACGACGACCGCATCAGCATTGCAACGCAGTCCTATGGAGGCCGGTACGGACCCGCCTTTGCCGCCTACTTTCAGGAGCAGAATGAAAAGATCGCGAACGGCACCTGGGATGGTACCGAAGGCGAGAAATACACCTTGAAGCTGGACACACTCCTCATCGTTAACGGGTGCATTGATCGCCAAGTGCAGTGGCCCTCATATCCGGAGATGGCGTTCAACAACACGTATGGCATACAAACGGTCAACGAGACGGTATATCAGGGTATGGTCGATGCTTACTACGCGGAAGGAGGCTGCCGTGACAGGATTGATGCCTGTCGTGAAATCTCTGCAGTCTATGACCCAGATAATATCGGCATCAACGCGACCGTGAACAGTGTCTGTCAAGACGCGGAAACATACTGCACGGAAAATGTTCGCGACCCCTATCTCGATGTCTCGGGCCGCGACTACTACGACGTAACACAGATCGACCCAACGCTGTTCCCGCCCCCCTTCACAGCCGGATATCTGAATCAGCCCTACGTCCAATCTGCCCTCGGGGTTCCCTTGAACTGGACAGGTAGCTCAAGCGCGTCGTCCTCCGCTTTCCGCAGTATCGGAGACTACCCCCGGCCAGGCTGGATCGAAGATATCGCCTACCTCCTGCACAGCGGCATCAAGGTCTCTCTCATGTTCGGCGACCGCGACTTCGCATGCAACTGGATCGGCGGAGAGCAAGTGGCGCTGGCGATTCCCTGGGCAGACCAAGAGAACTTTGCCAATGCGGGCTACGAGCCTCTGCAGACCAATGTTACTTACGAAGGCGGCCAGGTTCGGCAATATGGCAACTTGTCATTCATCCGAGTCTACCAGGCCGGACACGCCGTGCCGTCGTATCAGCCGGAATCCGCGTATCAAATCTTCAACCGCGCTCTCTTCAACAAGGACATCGCGACAGGCCTTGTTGATACCGCGACGAACCTGACTTATGCCACCGAGGGGCCTGCCGATACATTTGGAATCAAGAACGAGATTCCGCCGCAGTACGAAGATTTCTGTTACATCCTTGACCCGAGCACCTGCAGCGACGAGCAGGTTGATGCTCTACGGAACGGGACGGGCATCATCAAAGATTACATCATGGTTGAGCCGGCTTCGCAGCAGGGAGCTGCAATTGGATTGAAAGCAAGGGACATGTGAGTGGAACCTTTGGATGTTAATTGAAGGGCCGATGCTGACCATTTCGATTTCTATAGTCTTGATGAAGCCTAGAACACAACTGGTGGCGAAGTCATAAGGATTCACACAACCCTGATCTATAACGATGCACAGAAAAAGATACTTCATTTTCCATAGCAGTAAACCTTGGTGGTAAAACATCTTGATCATGGGAAATCCCCATGCTACTTGTGCTTATGGCGGTCAAATCGGTGGTGAACATTCTTGGTAGCCGCAATACAAAGTGGGCAAGCCATAACAAGAGATTTTCTACCGATATTCATCTTGTCAACCTTCGCCAGCAATTGAAGAAAGACCTTTGGATCATTTCCGACGATTTTGCTCGGGTATTGTGCTGGTCTGTTGTCGAGTCAAATCCGCTTATGTAATCTCAACAAGTCATTTCCAGCCATGATTGATTGTCTGAGTTCTCCGAGCGCGCCCCAACTTGTCTATGTTGCCAACACAAATAATCTTGTTTCCCATGCAGCAACAGGACAGCAATCGTATGTGCAATTGCTAATTTTTGGAGGGTCGATCTTGAGCACATAGCATGTCAGCGCGTTTGTCGCAGCGCCAATCCCTCGCGTGTCGCGGTTCGTGATCTATCCCCAGCCAGAAAGCCGCTCGGCCTACAGTCCTGACACAGTGCCACCGCCCATAGAGTGTACTAGGAAGAAGAGAAAGTGCAACAAAGAGATTCCATGCGCAAGATGCAGTCGTCTAGGGCTCCATTGCGACCGCGAAGTCGTTCACCTCAGGCGCAACGCCGTTCGCCATAGTGTCGAGATTGAGTTTCTCGAGACTCTGCGCAGCATGCTTCAGAGCAACGATCCCACTTCGGCGAGGAGGGCAGCCGATTTGGTGGCAGCTAGACTGGAGGGTCTACGGTCTGGTTCGGGGCAACTCACTGAGAACACACGGATAGCTAATCTTGTTGAGTCCGGGAGTGGGCTAGAAGATGACTCGGGACAAGACGAAGCCACAGGTTCACATTCTAAAGCTCGCAGTTCGCTCACGGTGACTGCGTTAGAGCACATGGCATGGGGTAGGAGCTATGGAAACTGCTATCCTCATCTACACTGCAATTGCCATCAAAGAAGAGATCCCACCATCACAACCTCAACAACAGGTCTGTCGCCGTCCCTCGGACTACCTGATCATACTGTTCCATCTCTTGCCCTCCTCCCCGAGAGAGTCACAGCCGAAATACTCATCTCGTTTCACCTGGAGCACATAGCATGGCACCACAACTCCTTACACTGCCCGACTTTCCTGCAGCAGTGCACCGTGTTCTGGGCAACCGGCGTATACGACCAGCCACAGTGGCTTGCGCTGTATAGCGCGGTGCTCTCCTCGTCGCTCCTGAGTTGGCAGAATAGCTGGAAACATCGCGATGCATACCCGCTCACTCTACCGGGCTGTTCGCCTCAAGAGTTATTCAACTTCATGGTCGACACTCTCTACAAGGCTCATTTCCTGCAAAATGTTTCAATCTACTCCATCCAAGCCATCGTCATCTCAACCGAAGTAGCTCACAATCTTGGGCTCAGTCAACTCAACGCTACCTTATTCAGCGCTGCGATTCGAATTGCCGAGTGCCTGGGAATTCATAAAATCACTAAATGCAGCCTCGACTTGCAGACTCCAGATGAAATATGGGATGATACTCTGCAAAGAGAAGTCGGTCGTAGGGTCTGGCTCCAGATGGTCATCCAAGACCACTTTGCAATCCCCTTTACCGACTCATATGGCATTAATCCGTCTCACTACTCCACTTCTTTCCCCAGAAATTCCAACGATGCGGACCTGATAGAAGCACCAGATGAAGTACTGACGGTAAGCACGTATACTCGTGTCTTGGGTGGTATTGCGCAGCTGATGCCCGAGCTCGCGGATGGTATGGGACCCCTGAGAGCCCAGAAGCCAGCAAGAGAGCAGTATGCCCATGTTCTCAAGATGGACCAAAAGATGAGAGAGAAGGTCCAATCAATACCGCGTTTTCTTCTGCAGAAGGATGAGCTGCTTGAGGGCCAGTATGCCTGGCTTGGGGTTGCACGTCAGAGTCTAGCCATTACCGCCGCTGAAAAGGTTCGATCAGACCCTAACGAACCCTCAGATATATCGCGGTGATGCTAATCAATTCCGCCAGATTGTCATGATCCACCGACCATTCCTCTTCCTCTCGTTCCAATCTGACTCCTACGTCCACACGCGCCGTACCTGCGTCGCAGCAGCGGTCACCATCCTACGCGAGCACAAGAGCATCGTAGAATCAGGCGAAGTCTCGCTCTGGACGCACGTCGCCTTCAGCATCACCGCTGCCATCATCCTCTCGTTCGAGGTCATATGCGATCAGAGCAAAGAAAGAGACAACCGACAAGAAGGTTACCTCGACGCGATTCGCGACGCGCGAGAGCACCTCCTGGGCCGGACGACGAGTGATATCCTAGCACACCGTGGCGTGGTGCTTATTGATGCCATCTTCTCCGAGGTGGGAGGCATAGAGTCGTTTTCTGATCGGACGCTTGCTGCTAGGCCTGATGCTATCAACTTTGAGGAAATTGCGGCTAGGTTCAAGACCGATTGGTTTATACTTGATTCTTCCACGGCTGGTCTCGGACAGTTTGACGTTCCGGAAGAGCATTTCACCATGTCTGGCGACCCCTCTGAAGATTTTGATGATTGGTTCCAGCAAATATTTCACTCGACCATAGTTGAATAAAGTCTGGTTCTCATCGAAAGGAATCCACTTCTCTGCATGATTGAATGGCATTTCTCTACCCACACTTCATAATCCTCTGAGATTGAGGTTATCGATTAGGCATTCGTGCGTTGACAACTCAGGTTTAATCGAGATACTAGGCAGGTATCTGATAGACAATGAAAAATAAGTTGCACACGATGTCTACGTTCCTATCCTCAAACTTTTGAGGGAAGCATCAAGTGGTCGAGCGCGTAACCCTATTTTCTGCGGCAGATTTGCATGGGCTCGAGCGGCTCGGCTTTCACCAAAGCCATCATATTTCCGACCGACACCTTGCAGGAAGTGATATGAACTTGATTGCGTTATGTGAGGCTAGGCGGCGACTTGAGTGCGTTGCGTGTCCAGCGATTCTCATAACAGAGCAACGTCAACTTGTCGGGTTCAAACTCAAGAAGACGATGATTTGCAATCCAAGATCGCCTTCGAGCGTCCCCGTTACAACAAAAGTCACCCTTCACCTCCCTGCAGATGAGCATGACCACAGCGTTGGCCGTCTCAGTTTGCGTCGTCTTCTCAGTCACCACTGCGTATGATGGGTCCTTGTTAGGATCTCTCAACGTAATGATCTGCTATCAGAGGTACTTCGAGCTCACAACGGCCACAACGGCTGTCAATACCTGCGCAACATTCCTAGGGGCTCTCCTCGTCCTGCCCTTCACCGGCATTCTCATCAACAAGAGAGGGCGCAAAGTGGGGCTTTACGCGGCAGCCATTGCCGACATGATTTGAGCCGTCGTCGCTGGCGCAGATTGTCAACATTGGAATTTTATTGCCGGGCGTGCGCCCGATCATTGGAATCAGCATGGGGCTGGCGCAGACTTCTGCGGGAACCTAAGTGGCGGAAACGGCTGCGACATCTGTCCGATCTTTGGCACTGCGTCTGTGTTTCTCGTGCTGGGCCGTTGGTTCCCTTCAGTCGTTGCCACTGCTTCGTGGAACACTCTGATCTGGCTTCATGTCTATTTCGAGTGGGTCGAGCCAAAGGGGCTGACCCTCAAAGAGATGCCTTTCCTCTTTGACAGGAAGAAAACGGCGCGCAGCCATGAGGAGGAGGTGTTGAAACCTGTTGTGAAGATAACCACGGCGGCAACTCATTAAGGAAAGCAATGTTTCGAGACCGAGACTCTCGTCAGGGCTCCTTTCGAATCCGGCAGCGTTCAGTCACCTGACTTGGTCTGGGATGCCAATCACATGATCTCGTGTGTTGGGCGTGTGGCACCCAAGGTCCGTGCATGTCGTCATCGAGGTTCTCCCCCGCCGTCGTCCATTTAGAGGGGGAAGTTAAGGTAGCTACCTAGGTCAGGGGCAGCCGCTCTTGCCACTAAGGTCAATCAGGTTCTTGTCAATCAATGTGATAATCACTAAAGTTTGCGAAACTTCGCATTATTTTAGAATTATCCTCACAGTCTTTTTCCATCATCGACCTAGCTTAACTGAACACCAGCGATTTGTCTGCGAGCGACTCCCGTCCCCCGTTCATTGAGAAGTGCCCCTCATCAACGCCCATTGTGTGTACGCTTTCGCCACACCGATCGATCCTAATGGCGGGACCCCGCGCCTCGATGTCGACGGCTGCGACCCGCTCCGTCTCCAGCCGTTCTAAGCCCGCCGGAAGCTCCACAACGAAGTCGGCAACGGCGACGCCCTCGTCGGCGCGCAAACGAAAAGCTGATACCTCTGACGATGCACTATTTTCATCCCCATCGTCTCGCAAAGTGAAGAAGCCCAACACGGTCGGCACGAGTACCGGCGAGAAGCGACTGCGCCGATACCGATCGAAACCACCTCAAAGCTTCCACGAAGTGTATCATCGAGCAACAACACAGCGCTTCTACGTTCTCGAGCGGCGGCGATGCGGTACCCCAGATGCGCCCGAGGAGGAGGTTGAGTTAACTGGCTCTACTGGTAATGTATACACCGTCAAGATCGGCCAGACTCCGTCGTGTAGTTGCCCGCACTCCATGAAGGGAAATCAATGCAAACACTGGCTTTATGTGCGTCCTTCCTCAGACCTGTTCCATCTTTGCTGGATAATTCTGACCATAGCTAGGTCATGTCGCGAGTCCTCCGCGCCAAATTCGAACACACGTACCAACTGGCTTTGGTCCCCAGTGAACTCAATGAGATCTTCGACAAGGCTCCGCCCATTGATCCCCAAGCCGACGATTCCAAGGACAAGAATCGCAAGCCCATCGACGGCGACTGCCCCATCTGCTTCTGCGAGCTCGAATCTGATAACAAAGACACGATTGTGTGGTGCCGCGCAGCTTGCGGTCAAAACATACACAAGCAATGTTTCGAGACTTGGGCTGCGACCAAACGTCGCGGCAGCTATGGCTCAAGCGATGTGACTTGTCCATACTGCCGTAGTATATGGCAGGGTGATGATGACATGATCAAGAACATCAAGAAAGGCGGCAAGATCACACGTGAGGGATATGTCAATGTGGCTGAGCAGCTCGGTATCAGCACTCAGAGAGGTATGGTTATACCTTTGGCGCGCACTGCTTTTCAAGGTAACTGACCCATGATAGCAGACTATAGTACCTATTCTAGATGGTGGAGAGGAAGTTATTAGTATGGTTTCGCACACGTCCTACTCGCGACCGTTACTCAAAACAACAAAGTGCCAGAGACGTTATCACGTTGATGCATGGCGCCTCATCTAGCCATGCCCACCTTTGGAGCCCCCGCATTCACGTGCACCGTATGGTTATCTTTTCCATACAATGTCTTGTGATGTGGGGTTTCTATCATGGACACATTGCAGGCTCCATTCAAACACTCATAGGGTGAATGAGACGGGTGACTGTCCCATGAGTCCCCTTGCCACGGAGTCATCTTCCCCAAAGTCTTACTCTTGGAAAGTCAATCAGGTATAACACCTTCCTTGTCATGGCGTAGAGCAAAGTATTTCTTGACAGCCATGATCTGCGGTGCGGCTGACCATTCACACAGTACGCTTGTCCTGCGCCTAGCACCTAGACTCGGCGGTTATATACGATGTAGCATTGACCTTGTTCCACTCCGATCAGCCTCAACCTGCCTCGCTCGCGTCCACTTTCGAATTGCTGACAATGAGCTGGCGCTTTCTCCGGACCTTGTCTCTGAAGTAGTCGCGGTTCATGTTCCATATTTCTAGTGGACGAAAAATATCTCTGTCTACGGACCTGAAGCTCCGTCAGCTGTCAGCACGATCATGCTCTTTGTAGCCCCGGCTGTGACATTGTGGCAATGGCGATGACGTCAGTATGGAATTGAGGAGCTCGAGTTGAGCGCGCAATCCGAAACTAACAGTTGGTGCTTAGCTCGGGATTGATTTTGATCATGTGAATGGGCATGATATGAAAGATAACAGGAGCGGCTCCGTCATTCAGGTAAGAAAACCACATGGACTTCGCAGATGGCTCTCGGTGGCTTTGGGGCGCTGGAACAAGACCTTGGCAAGTGAAGCCATGAGTTCATGGTTGGTGATGGAGAACGAGTAGGGTCCTTTTGAGGGGTTACAACCAGATCTAGCGACTAGTATTCCGAATATTCAACCACCCTGGTGTCAAATGAAATAACTACCAAGCATCGACGGCTTGTGTCGTGAGCTACCACATGGACAATACGGAGGCAAACATTCTTGACAACAAATAAATGTCCACAGAAGTTGCCACTCCATTCAAAGGCATGGAACCCATCTTGTCTTCAATTAAAGATGACAGACTCATAGGCGACAGCGACCTAGTTTTCGTCCCGCCATAGCTATATAAATGACGCGACAAGTATTTGTCTCTATGTGCTGCCGTCGACTAGGCCGCTTATAATGGAGTTATCAGGGTCTTGTTGACTGCTAGTTACTATTGTATGCTACAGGCTCGGTTTGATATCCAAGTAAATTCAAGCACTCGAATGGCTTAATTGGGGTATAAGGCACTTTGTGAATCCCCGGGTGATGCGGGCCAAACAGCTTTGGGCACAGGTAAGTATTCTCGTGTATGTTTGCTAACTTAGAGTTACATGCATTTTCACTGTTTCTCTCGCTCAGCCTTGAGTTTCTGGTCCTCTTCCTCCGTCTTGGGAACCTTAACAAATGCCGGTACAGTGACAGCGTTGAGCTTGCGTAAAGCCTGCAAAAGTCAGCGAACGTCACCCCACGGTGCGATACCGCCTACCCAAAAGGGCCGCCACAACGAGACTCGGCAAAAGACGGCAAAGCTTGCCTGACCGAGTAGCCCCAGCAGGGTCTTGGCGGCATTAGAAATAGATACATTGAAAGCGCTACGTACCTGGGAGAATGCCCCCTCGGGAAGATCATTGTTCCACTTGTCGTTGACCTTGATAATCTTGCCATCGTCGCCGACCTGAATCTGCACGACACTCTCCATGGTCTGCTCGGTCTTGATTCCCTTGACCGTGTAGCTGTTCTTCAATTCTAGCTCGATGGGATTACCCGCCGATGTGACGATGTGCGACTGGATTCTGATGGGGTTGAACAGCGCCGGAAGACCGTACCACTGGGCGGCGAACTTGTCGTACCCCTCTGCGACGGTGATGTTGTCCTGGAACGTAGCCGTCTTGGACCACAAAGACAGGTGCTTCAGGGTAGGGTTTCCCTCAAAGAGCTTTGGAGAATGATTAGCCGGAGATTAGGAAATTACCTACGTAGGGAAAGGGTGATGCATACATCTAGTACGCTGCCGACCAGGACTTTCTGCGGCTGGGACAGTGATACCCCAGACTTTTGGACAATATCGCTGTTCTTAATGCCGATGGACTCAAAGGTGGGCGCGTCGGCCCCAGCGTTAGCCTGGACCTTTGCCGTTTCGGAGGGGGTGCCGGACGCCATGTTTCTCTGGACAGACTTTGCAAAGGACTTAGTCTCGGGGTGGGTTGCAATCTTCTTTGCGATGTGACGGGCTGTTGAGTGCATGGGAATGGTAGGAGTAGGGTTGGTAGGGGTGAGAACATATGAGATATGTGAGAGGACTTGTGAGGTTTTGTGAGGTTTCGTTAACTCTGGGTTGGAGCTGTTGGTCGTCAAAGACACGTCCGGCGCATATTCGTCGCGTCACTGGGCTGACGTGACGAAGGGATGATGATGAGCGCTGACGTCATGACTCGGATCCGGGGACGATGCTCCGCGCATTCGCTTCTGAGATGGCAGTCTCGATCGGGGATGGTTATTGCCTTAAACAGAGACGTGTCGGTCTCCTTGAAGCTTCGGCTTCCGCATCCGTGCCGATCATCCTGTCTCCGAGTCTCGGGTGAACCGCCGGCGTCGGTATCCACTTTATTTCTGGCAGTCTTCCGGCGCCATCCGGTCCCTCCGTAGCATCCCGTTGGGGACCGCACCATCAATTGTGCCATCGCTATTGAAATGCTCAGTGTCAATAAAGCATTGAAAAACAAGGATTTACCAAACCGAAACGAGAAGTCAAGTATTCGTGATACGTCAATTTATTAAAGCCCGTTGCGCGGCGAGTGTCGTAATATGTCCGTCTCTGGAAAAGCTATATACAGTCAAGAATATGTGTGTCAAGAAGAAAATGTCAATGGGTATCCAGAATCCTCTCATCCCTCATTAACCCATTCGCGTCGCGACACACCGGGCGAGGATGTCGAAGAAGCCCTGCGCCAAACCCCGTCATGTAGTAGTAGTAATTGTTGTTGTGCATCACCACAGGTGATGATAGTTTGCCGGTCCGCGTTCGCCGTGTGATGCAAGCACCTCATTTGAACTCGCCCTTGCCGTGGCAGCGGGTGAGGGGGATCCAGCTCTGCTTCTTGCTGCAGACGGTGATGGCGCCGGAGACCCAGCTAACGCCCTCGTAAGAGCCCTCGTCATGGGTGTCAGCCATCCAGGTACCGGTCTGGCGCAGGGAGCCGATGCAGCCCTGGAAGAAGCGGCCGTAGCGGCGGGTGGTCCAGGGGGTGGTGATGACGACACCGGTGTAGCCCTCGCCGACGTTGCCGCGGATGAGGTTACCGGACTGGGTGGTCCAGGTGCGGGTGAGGCTGATGCCAATGTTAGGGGCGGCGGCGCCGCTGCCGCGGCTGATGGCGTCGACAATCATGTTCTTGGTGCCGGTGAGGCTTAAGCCGGCCGAGAGCGAGACCGAGTTGGCGATGGAGTAAGACTTGGAGACCGTGAGGTCCATGCCGCCGCGGGGCCCGATAACAACAGGGGACATCTGCACGTCCCAGTCGACGAAGCGCTCAGTCTTGTCGATGATAGTGGAGGTGGTGTAGGCGCAGTCGCGCTTCTCGTGGACGGAGGGGTCGTACTCGAGCGCGGACATGTTGGCGGCGGACTCGATCCAGTCATGGTCGATCTCCGGGGCCTCGCTGAGGATGCCTTCGTCATCGAGGAGCTTGTACCAGTCCTCTGTCTTGATGATTTTCTCTGCAAGATCGGAGTCAGCACGTGGCATACAGTATAAGAGTGGTCGTAAGTGGAGGAAGGCTTACCCTCGCCGTTGGTCAGGAGAACAACCTCGTTGTCGGTTACTCTGTGGTCGGGAGTCCACGTGGTGAGATTGATGCCGCGCTCGTTGAGCGGGACCGAAAAGAAGGGAGCGGCGTTGACGGCCGAGGCCATCAGAAGGGTGATGAGGTTGGGGGAAATCATTTTGGACGGCTGATGATATATGAGATCTGGATGTGAGAGAGGAGAGGAAGAAGTTGATGAGGATGAGAGACTGGATATTGCCAAGAGGACCCGGGAGATTCTCACGACTTTATACACTGGTGTTCAAGATCATCGAGGTATCTCGATAGCTGATAACAATCATTTCGAGACGTGATCTACATTTTGCTGTTGAATTACACCGCGCTGCGAGCGGCGTTCATCTGATAGTTGGGGTTCCCCTCCCATGCATCTTCCTTCTTTCGGACGACAGCGTTTACCTTGCGAGTCATGGTGGCAGACCCTCATTCATGGGTACGCTGACCCAACCCGCCTCGTATCAAAAAATGTAGCTTTTCTCCGACCGAGTACCTCTCAAGGTAACCCGCTGCAATCGTGCGCATGTGTCCTCGTTTCACCGTCTGAGTGGGTAAAGATCAGCCCCGTTTCGTCGGAACCAGACACCAACAGATGGGTGCCGCCCCAGACAAATCCCCATCGTCACCGTAACTACTTGCCTTATTAAGCATAGGAAGTTCCATACTTGCACGATTCAGCGCCGTGTCACGGGGGAGAGAGCTTGATGGCCTGATCATGTTATCAATCTCTTTTGCGGGTAAAGTTGGATATCTAGTCCTCGCTGAAATTCACACCGAAAGTCGCACGCGAGAGAAGGTGGTCATTCGCAGCGTCCTCGGCCGCCGAGCTCATCTCTCGTCGAGTAATGCACATTCGATAGTGCAGTGTCCAATAGATTGGGGCCTCCTGGATGAGGCAAGATGCGAAAATAGCGAGCTTCTCCCTCGAGCCGGCCATCATACAAGTATTTCAACTTCCCGTCGCCTCGTCCCAATCTACCCACAAATCAACCTTCTACATCTCGTCTTTACCACGTTTTCACAATATCTGTCCCCCCCTCATCATCGCCAAAGCTCCTAGAAGCACGTCCCAAAAGCACCTTAATCGTTTAAGATGCAGCTCTCATCCATCTTCCTCTCTGTTGGCCTCATGGCCGCCGGGTATGCCTTGTCCTAAATCTGTCTCGATCCTACATAGATACTGACGGTCCTTTCCTAGTGCCAACGCAAAACTCCACAACGCTGGTGTCTGCGTGACAAACAGACAAGAGATGCCCGTCGGCGGCACTGGCTGGAGTGTGAGCTACACCTGGAGCAAGAAGTACGAGATCTTGCCCGATGCGACCAAGTGCGCCTGCAACTACTACAAGAACCGCAATACCGGAAACAAGCAATGGGACAAGTGCCCCGACTGCACCTTTGTAAGTTGTCTTCAGCCGCGTTCAGTCGATCGTAGTCTAATATTATGATTCTAGGATGGCTTCCAGTGCAACTCTGCTGGCTGGCATATTGGAGGCGATGAGCTGAACTACTACTGCAGCAAGAAGTGCGGCGCCCAGGGCTCCGAGGCCAACTAGTCTCTTGCCATTACTGTTTTCGAGTTTTTTTGCCGGGACGATGACGGACGAACATTGAGATACCACGTTTTTATTCATGGCTGCACATACTTGATTACCATGAGGTTGGGCTGGGACTCGCTTCGAAAGTAGATACCTATCGACATTAGTACATATTCTGATAACCATAATTCCCTATTCCTTGAACTTCAATTTTTCCGACCCAGTAACTCCGTGTGTTTCATAACCGGGCCGCAGAGGGTTCAGCCCACGCGGCGCTTGTAGAGTGGGATTAAGACGTTTGCCCGCACGCACAGGCCGCAACGTTGTTTGACTCGTTCGACTCCCGTCTCCGATTATACTTTAACCAGCCACGGGAAGTAAAAAGGCAAAATGACGTCGGGAGGGGACTTCACTAACCTCTTCTGACTTACGACCGACTCTTTTCATCAATCTTATTTTGACGCCGAAAGAGCCTTATGTTTCGAGCTCGTCGCCTCAACATACGATGCTGAGAACATCACGCTCACGCAGCTGTCGTTGACCTTTCGAATTCTCGGCTCCTTGAGCCGCCTTGGACGGATGCTACCTCTTGGTTCAAAAACGGGACCCCTCCGCAATCTCCTCTCTTGTGCAGTAATACGACGTCGCAACGCAATGGGGTAAGTGGATTGTGGTTGGTTGGCACTTGTCGTGCCAAGAGGCTATGGCCAGCACCCCATCTCGGGAACTCTTTGGGTTGGTTCGGCGTGTCTGCGTGTCTTCACATTGCCTTCAGTTCGGCTCCGATGCAGAAGCGGCTTTAATCGCCGCGGGCTTCTCGCCGCTGGAAGGAAGGTGAGTTTGGACTTTGGTTCAATACTGCGTCAAGAAAAAAAAGCCAACCGTGACTCGGGTTGGTGCGTTGTTTTAGCGACGGAATCGCCGCATAGTTTGCGCTAACTAGGGGTCCCTTGTGGGGAATGGTGTCTACCGTCCAGCTGGCTCACACCAGCATCCGATGATTAGACTTTTGTACAGATGGAATCTATGGATCGTCTCAAGTAATTAGCTCCTCGGGGTGCAGCTCGCCATTTCAGCCCCCGATGAGGTTCGCCAGGCTAACCGTTGTAACGGCGGGTACCTGGCGCGTTGCTACGGTAGGATTGGCCTTGTAGGACCTTACGGAAGAGGGACCGATCAACGGCAAGGGCAATATACGCAAAGTGGTTTGCAGAGGCACGTGTCCCACTCTTCGCTGTGGTTCTCGCCGTCGCATGAGTCAGCCTGCGTACAGATCTTCGGTTGTGCGAATAGCAAAGGTTTTTTGCAGGCCATGGGTTGAAATTGGGAATGATGCCACCATGAGTATCTATGACATAGATATAAGCTTAAGGTGCCAAGCGCACGCCGAAGTTGTAAATCTTGCATTTACGAGGCAAATTCGCCAGAAAAAGGAACGCGATATGATCGGAGAAGCCGAAACTACATGATACTCACCATAGTAACTAACTTAAGATTGCTTATAGGTCTCCCTATGGCCGGTGTTTCAAATTGAAGAATAATGCGAGTGCGATAAGATTGCTCTCAACTGGGGGCGATCACGTCTCTCCGGAAGTCTGCTACTCTATACGTTAATTCGACTAAGATCTCACTACAATTTCCGTGGCCAACCAGCTTTGACCTGAAAGATTAGGAGGATGCGGCACAACTGGAACCACCCATGCGTAATAAGCCATATATTAGTGCGAACAATCCGGATGATCCTTGTGGGCCAACTAGCTCTCGGGCCATAGGGCGCCGCCTCTACGGAGAAGCTTAGAAGGGGACGGGGCTCTTCCGAGTCAGTTGCCCTGTTATTGGCCTACTCTTCGACCTTTTCGGTTCAAATCAGCAACGCATCGTGTTGAAC